AACTTATGACCTCGGTCACATTTTCTATATATGAATGTAAATAGATAATAAGTTAAATATAATTATACATTTATATATATAAATTAATAAAAGCTTCCATTGATCGGAAAAATTGCAATAAATATCATGTACCTATGGTCAATTATCATTGTTGCATTTTAATTGTCATTCTATTAAAATATATTATGTGTATTTTTTGCAATTTTTGTTCTTTGGCCACGCGTCAAGTCCACAATGGATATAAACTCACACGCGCAGAGTGAGATTGTGCCACGGAAGATAAAATCTCGAAAAATTGACATATATAAAATTTATTTTGTCAGAGTGACAATTGAAAAACAAGAGTGTTAATGGCTCCTTTTTGGTCCTACAATGCCTAAACGATAACAAAAACGTCTGTCTTTAGACTCAAAATTTGAGAAAATTTGCACGATTTATCCGAAATGACCAAAAAACCAGCCAACGATTGGTCATCTAAGGTCATTTAAAGCCCCAAAGCTCGAAACATTAAAAAACATACACTCATTGTTAAATTCAGAATTATAAGAAACTCACACAGTTAATCTGAAATGACCAAACAAATAAACCAAAGAGATTGTTTTTTTTCCATCCAAGGCTATTTAGAACCCCAAAATACCCAAACGCTAAAGAAATGTGCACCCATTTTTAGATTGAGAATGACATAAAATTCGCACGGTTAATCCGAAACGGCCAAACAAAACAATCAACAATATTATTTTGTCCATCCGAAGTCATTTAGAGCTTTAAAAATTGTTAACGCAAAACAAAAAGTAAAACCATTTTTAGATTTTGGAATTGGAGAAAATTCATATGTTTCATCCGAAACGACCAAACGAACCAACCGTCGATATTGTTTTGTCCACCCGAAATTATTTTGGATTCTAAAAATCCTAAACGTTAAAATATTTAAACTTATTTTACAATTTGAATTGAATGGAACTTGCACGATTTATCCGAAATGACCAAACAAAATGTAAACTCATTTTGATACTCACAATTAGACAAAATTTGCACGGTTCATCCGAATCAATCAACAATATTTTTCTCGTTCATTCGAGGTCATTTTGGGCCCTAAAAACCCTATAACGCTAAAAAAATATAAATCAATTTTTAGACAAAGAATTGAACAAAATTCACACAGTTCATCCGAAATAAGCATACAAACCAACCAATGAAAAATTTTATTAGTTTGAAGTTTTTTAAAATTCAAAAAAGCCAAAATGCTAAGAAAAACATAAACTAAATTTTAGACTCGAAATAGAAAAATTATCAGTCTTTCTTTTTAATTGTCAATATGAAAATATATATCTCACATGGGTCATTTTTTCGCGATTTTTATCCTTCAGTTGCGCATCAAGTTATGATGGTGTCGGTGCGAGCGAGATTGTGCTACGAAGGATAAAAATTGCGAACAAGTAACACATGTACAATATATTGTTGATATGCCTTAAATCTAGTTTGTCACTTCGTCGAGTTTTACAGAGGTCTTGCTGATGATATATTCTCTTAGTTTCTTTAAATAGACTTAGAGATATGCAATCTAGGTTAATATGTATAAAAAAATCGGTATCTGTAATTTGTAACCTACCCACCTAAATAAAATATGTTCTTTGTTTCTACTTGTAAACGTAGCCAATACGTTGTTAGCAAACCACGTAAATCTGTCTTCTTTACGTTTCTGTTTGTAATTTAATTATTAATCATAATCCGTTACAATATATATTGACACAACATATATTTTGCCAATATAACAATTAAAAAAACATCAATAATAATTGAAAAAGTATAAAATATTTATTACATTACTGACCACATCCATTTATTTTACCCATGTGTTAGATATAATTATTGAATACAAATGTGTCGTCCATTTCAAAGGTACAAATTGTGGTCCAACTGTACAACTACTTGAATTGAATTTTGACAATAGTAGAATCTATAAATTAATTAATCAATTATCAACCGTTACATCTACTTGATTTCAACTATGAAATAATCAGTTTCATCGTAATAATAATTGTTAATAGACGATGGATGTGTAATTTTATACAGCAGAATTCTTTTTTTTTTTTTTCGGATCCCATTACATTTGATCAATTTTAATCCCATAAAAAAAAAAAAATTAGTCCAAATGAGTATCAATCAATATTTTTTGGAAAAACTATTTTTTTTAGTCCAATAATCGACTCCCTTATCATTTTAATTTTGTTATTGAACTTATATATATGGAAGTTGTTCCGTAAGTGAATTTCTTTTGGCACAATTGTTCCTCCAACTCGGAGATGCGTACATCGAATTAAGCACAAAAAAAAAAAAAAAAAATCACTTACAAAACTAAAATGATAAAAGAAGTCAATTACGGGACTAAATCAATTTCACGTGTCTGCCGTGTGGAGCATACTTGGTGGACAGGTGTACGCCAGGCGGGTGCCATGTGTGAATCTCTGGTCGGATGACCAATTGTGCCAAAAAAATTAACTTACTGGATCATTTTTATATAGACTCCAGTTACGGGACTAAAATAATAAGAAAAGTCAATTACGGAACCAAAAGAAAACACTTTTCTTATACTCCCTCGTCCGAAATCAAAGGGGCCTCTTGGGATTTTATAGTAGAATAATAAATAATATTAGTATTTTATTAGCTAATGAAAGTGTGTATGAGTTTTTGACATTTTTTATCCTTTGACTTTATATATAAAGTAATTGTATGTGTAATGATTTTTGTAATTAAGTAAAATTTAAAGGTATTTTGGTATTAGTGCATGATTATTTTTTATAAAATAAGAAATAGATACTTTGAGCACATACAAAAATGGTAAAATTGTACTTTGAAATAGGATTGAAAAAATATTTTTGTAATCGCTTTTAATCCAACTGTTAAATTTACGACGAAATATGTTGACGTAGATGTAATGAAAGGTGGTATGTAATATGTAACAAACACAACCATATTAATTATAGCAGGTCATTGTTGTTTCAATTAAACATTATATTGTTGTCTATGTATAAACAGATCCATGTTCCAAATCAAATTAAATTTTAAGTTGAATTCGGCTAGCAAAAGGTGAATAATAATGCGTGTGGGTTCCACTAATTATAAATATATTTGATAATTTTTTATTGATTACTTTTATTTATTTATTTTAAATTATATTATATTAATAATCTAAATAGTTTTCAGATTATATAAAAAGTAATTTAATAGAAAATGATATATATGTTAATTATAATCATAATTCTAAAAGGTGTGAGATTAGTCAGTTTTTTCATGAACATAGTTTTATAGATATTTTCTGTTTGTTCTTGTCGGAGAATTGAACGATATTGGAATTACACTTTAGAATTTAAAGATTGCAAATCAAATCACACGGCTTGATGGAAAGATTTAAATGTTGCGACATTGATAAATTATCTTGCGAGGAACAAATTCTAAGATAAATACAGTTTAGAATTTCGAGATTGCAAATCAAATCACAGCTTGATAGAAAGATTTAGATGTTGCAACATTGATAATTTGTCTTGCAAGGAACGAATTCTAAAATAAATAAACTTTAGAATTTCAAGATTGCAAATCAAATCACACGCTTGATTGAAAGATTTATATGTTGCAGCATTGATAAATGGTCTTGTGTGTTTACGTGTGAGGTTTTAGTTTTGGATTGTGATTTAGAATAGTAAAATTTTGAATTGAAATAATTGCTTGATGTGATATAAATATGTATTGATGTGATGTTTTGAATGTAAAATTAGATTTTAGTGTAACAAAATAAATAAATAATGGATGTTTGATTTGATATTTTTTAGGGAAAAAAGTTGAAATAGTAAAATCAGATGTAAAACGTGACAAGTAAACACACTAAATTGATATTTCTGTTAAATAAATCTATTTGAGGTATAGTTATCATCGAAATACTTCAAAAAATATTTAAATTATGTTTTAGTTTAATATACTAAATCATATTCCAAAATCCCTGAAAAAACCATCTGTCATCCCATTTTATAAAAATTAGAAATAAAATATCCAAAAAAAAAAAAAAAATTCCAAAGTTTGTGAAAACAAAAAATTGTGCAAAAACTATTGACATATTTTCTGAATATATATTAACAAGAATTCATAATAGTTAGCTATTATCAACTGACGAGAAAACTTTAAACGATAATAAATATATAGATAAAATTAAATAAATAAAATAGAAGCATTTGCTACGTTTATTAGCACATCAGTTGCTACATGTATACTATTATATATAGTTACAATAAATAAAAAATAAAAAAATAAAAAGACAAATCGAACTCCAAAGGAATACACAAAAAATATCCTAAGTAACTACAAATTGGATTCTCTAGCAAATACCAAGGATAGGATAGTTCACTTTGTCTTTTTGGATTAATGTATTTTTTATGTTAAGTATGAAAAATTATGTCGATAATATAGAAATTAATATTTTTTTTTTGTTGAATTATTGGTTTTTTTATAAATAAATAGAGTATATATTGTATATGTTGTGTTAATATAGAGATATATTATATATATTTTGTATTATTTATAGTAAATTGGGTGAACAAACCCTACAAACATGGCTACAAATCAACACCTCTTTCATAAACATGGTTGCCTTATATACTTGGAGAACACAATATTTGCATATATATCCGAATCTGATTATTACTAATGAAATCAAGTTAGATTTATTTGTTTTGTTATATTTTTTTATGTCAATTATGTTGATTCAATAGATCTTGACTTAAGGTAAAATTACTCATGAGATGTAAAGAACATTACTAACCAGATATGTCCTCCTGAAAAGAACATACACAAACCATACAACGTACGATTTTATTTATGATTGTCCTAATTAAGAAATTGAAAGCCAACACACATACATAGAGCATTAATGTTATCACTCGAAAATCAACTCCCACAGCTTTCAACCTTATTAACATTACCATTCGATATTTCCTCACAGCTTGAGATAATCACTTAGGCAGCTGAATACCATTTTCTGCTTTCTTCTTAATGAACTTGAACGTGTAGGGCAATTCGTTGGGTTGATCGTTAACCGACAGATGTTGCTGATGATCCATCGCGTAAAGCCCAATTTCATCGCGACATTTAAGGCGCGAGCACGACACAAAAGTGTAGACATTATTCGCTTGCCCGGCTTGCACAATCCTGAATTGACTCGATAATTGAACACCGATCAATATGCCGGCCACAACAAGGGTTTTCTCGGCCTCTTCATCATACTCGACTCTCCAATAGCCCTCCCCGCCCAGGCAGCCAGTGACCGGTTCTGAGAAACTTATTTGGACTGTGGTCTGATTCACATAGATTTGGGGGGAGGTGGAGTATCTGTAAACAGGCTCGACATTCACCGGGAGGCCAAGTTGAGTCTCGGACCGCATTTGAATGACGCTGGAAGGGCATCTCAAACGAGACCACTTTGGGAGTCCGATTCCACCGTGAAAACCTGCTCCGGCGTTGGAGATGTAGTACTCGTTTTCTGGCGTGACTGCATCTCCGTCGGAGTCGAGCACCGGCGACATATCGGCGGAAACTCCATGGATGAGTATGAGGAGGAGCAAAGAGAGAGAAAATAATTTTATTACCATCTTTAAGATTAAAAGTGAGTTGAAGAAGGATTGATGGATTATGAAAATTATGTAGTGTAGATTAGGGGTTCTTATTGAAGAGACTTGAAGGGCATTTTTGTCCTTTTCAAATAGCTCAAGTTTGTGTTTAGTTACGGTCCCAACTATTTCTTTTGTTGTTTTTTTTATTTAGTAAATAAAAAAATAATACTCAATTTGTCCCGGCTAATTTATCTCATTTAGATTAGGCACGGAGTTGTAGGCATTGTTGTAATTAGTGAGTAATTAAGAAGTGTATTAGTAAAAATAATTGTGATTTAATAAAAATAATTTTAAATTAAGATTAAGATTAAAATGACTGAATAGTTTAATTAAAATAAAAAAATATATATAAAAATTATGAATTAAAATTTGATTAAAGTATATAATTATATTTAAAAATAAATAAATAACAAATTAGGTGGGACAGACAAAAATAGAAATAGAGGACAAGTTGTGTGGGAGAGAGTAGTATTTTTATTAGTTAGAAGTGTGTAAAATTGTTTTGATATTTTTACCTTTACGAATACAAAAGAAATATATAGTTATATAGAAGTTAACAGGATTTTAATATTTATATATGAATTTATTTTTGAGGGTATTTGGGAAACCGCTTATTGAACAATTTATCACATGACACCATAACCTTAATTTTTCTACAAATCTATGTGACTGGTTTATCAATTTAGGTTCATCTGAGTTTCGGATATCATCTGTTAATCTGCATTTGCGACTTTATGTTTTTGAGTTTGTGATATTTCGAGTTCTTGACTTTTTATGTGAGATGAAGAAGATGGATATTCATATGCCAATAGATATTATTTTATCTATAGACAACTATAGTTTGTGGGCGCAATAACTAAAGAGCTTTCTCATAACTAGGAAGCTATGACGAACAGAAATAGGTGACATTGTTGCTCCTGTCCGCCTACCTCGTGTTGGAGCTGTTGGAAAAGTTATCCCTGATCCTAAAATTATGGAAATTGTAATACCTCGGAGTTGAGCTGTTGTTTGGCCAACTCCCGTGTATGGATGAGCCGGTATTAGACCATCCAAAGTTGATTAGAAATTAAATGGATTGAATAGACTACTCATGTCAACAATGTGCATATTCCTTTTCGGGAGTCCTACTGAAAGAACTCTAGAATTAAGCGTGCTTGAGTAATTTGAGAATGGGTGACCTCTGTGAAGTCTCTCAAGATGTGCACAGAAGTGCGTTGGAAGGACTCGTGTTGACCTGTGAGATCAATCTACAATCCAGACACGCCCAGTTTTGCGTGGCTTGCGGACCGGGATGTCACAAAAACATATATCTACAATCGAGACACGCCCCTTACTACCTAGCCCTATTTTTCTCACCTTGAGCTGACTATACAAAATTCCCTCTAGTAATTCTATCTAACCTACTCCCTACCTTATGGAATCTTACTCCCTCCATACAATAGATTACAATCAATTTTATGTACTACAATTTTCACTAAAATTATTCTTCCTCCCTCCGTCTCAATATAATAGTCTTGTTTACCATTTTTGTTTGTCCCAAAACAATAGTCTTATTTCCATAAATAATCATATCACCATGAAACTACCTTTTACTTTTTCATTTTTATTACATAATTGTTACTATTTTTTACGCTAATACACTCAAAAAAATCTTTTATTTATATTTTTTACCAACTACCAATATAATATTAGTATTTCTTAAATCTCATGTTCAACCCAATTAAGACTATAGTTTCGGAACGACGGAAGAATTACAATATAATTCCCTTGGTTCATTGATTGACAATTTGGGCCATCTTCTTGGTGTTCGACTCACAAGCCCACATATAAACATCAACCAAAACATAAGGTTGGCCCATTGCCAACATTATGTTTGCATCGAATTCTACGAATGTTTTTTCAGTCCTTCTTGTCTTAACTGGTGTGGCTTATAAACTATTCTCAGCTCAAAGGTTTATCCACTATGCACTTGAAGAATAGCGATTACGGATAATTTTGGAAAAGAAAAAAATATGGATCCTTAATTGGATTATTTGTATATCATGCTTATGCTTCAAAATCATTTTGTATTTTGAAAATTCTTGTGTAGATTTTTCTCTTATGCCAATTTTTATTTTATTTCATTGTTGATTTGGTATGATTTTATGTCTTGTTCCCAAATATGTTCGATGAACAGTACATCCACTGAACAAGTGTGTTTGTTTAGTAATTTGTAGGTTTTTACTTTTATTATTTTTTAAATGACATGGTAGTTGGATTCGATCATTTGTATATAAAATTAGTACGCTTTTATTGATACATAAATTATCATTTACATGATATTCATTAATGAATAGAAGGTTTTTCTTTTGTGGAATTTATACAAGGTTTTTAATATTCAGATTTTTATTTTTTTTTCTTCTAAAAACATCAAATCAAATAATTATTTTTATTTTTTTATATTATACTACAAATTTATTTTACATTAAAAAAAACATCAAACCATCGTCTATTTCTATCACATCAAATAACTATTCAAATTCAAATTTTTACTATTCAAACATTCAAATCCCAAAACTCAAACCCACAAACAAACACAATGTTTTATGAAGTGTTTCAAATTGTCGAGTCTTTTATATTTAATTTTATTATTGAATTAAAAATAAATCGTTGATAATATGTCGTAAAAATAAATAAGTTTTAGGTATAATATTTTATATATAAAAAAAATAGAATATATATTACAGAGAAGATACCATAAGATAAAAATACAAATAAAACAGTCATTTATTCACCTCATGTTGTTTATGTATATACACAATTTTTAATGTTTATCATTCTTTCAAATCATAATTATTTCAAAAAAAAAAATATCACATTAAATACATATTTCTTTTCGTAAAATATTATATTAAATACTTAATTTTTTAATTTATTTTCAAAACTTTTCAGAAATTTAAAAGCTCTGTTTAAACAATTATTGAATGCACATATTCAATTCGATTGGTACAATTATTGAATGTACCATCAATTTAAAAATCTACAGTTTAGTGGTCCTGAAAATGTGCCCGAAAAAGTATTGGAGATACCAAAAAAATTATTGGATAGAAACAAAAAATTGATTTAAATTGAATTAAAGATATACTCCAAGAGCCAGTTAATTTGCAACGTAGGGGCACCTTTTTAGTCTTTTGGGCTATTGTCGGCTCTCACGTTATTAAAAATAAAAATTAAATTTTGTTTGAGTAAAAGGTTTTTTTTTTTTTTAAATCAACATTTTGGGATGAAAAATCTATAATTACTTCTAACCAAAAAAAAAAAAAAAAAACTACATTGTCCAGTAAAAAATTGCTTTAGTATGAAAGTGAACTTGTAATCATAAGTTCCTACTGTATTGGATCCGATTAAAGAAATTACACTACTAATAAAATTATTTATTATTATCTCTCAAATTATTTCAAACAATTATTGTCTCAAATCTTGTATGTGACCTTTTGCTCGTCACTACTTAAAAAATTGTAGATATTAAAGATCAGTTATCTCATTATCAAACCATTATCGAGACAATATTTAATCTCGTAAATTAAACAGATTTTATAACACAATTTATTTTGAAACTTACTTACGAAACAATTTTTCGAGATAAATTAACAAATTTCTAGTAGTATTGTGCTTAAAAGTTAAGAGATAGGTTGATTAATAGACGAACCGATCGTTATATGAAACATACAACAAACGACTCAATTTTATTCCGTCACACCATCATCAACATGAACAAATAGACGAAGGAGCGCATAAAACTAAAACCGTGCATCCCAAGAGCACAACACTAATCATCGCTTTCATAATTTATTCGAGCTATTAAAACATTTTCCGTTAGATCGTCGCGACTTCCCTTCATTTAGGCAATTGAATCACACCCACATTCTCCTTCTTAACAAACCAAAACTTGTAGGGAAGATCGTTGGGTTGATCGTTCACCGCCAAGCGATCTTGATCGCCCACGCCAAAAAGCCCAAGTTTGCGGCATTGAAGCCCAGAAATATTCGGGCATGTGGCGAACACGTACCCATTTATTTCCCTAGGGTCTTGCACGATCCTAAAGTAGCTCGACGGGTTCGGTACAAATGTCCCGGCCACAACAAGGGATTTCTTGACCGATTCGACGTACTCGACCCTCCAAGAGGCCGCGCCGCCGGGGCATCGAGTGAGGGATCCCGGGAAACTTATGTAGACGTCGGTCGAGTTCTCGAGGATTTTGCTCTCGGAGGGCTTAACGGGTTTCATGATCACCGGGAGGCCTATGTCATCCTGAAGCATTTGAATTACGCTCACGGGGCATTTTAGGCGCCCCCACCCTCTGGGGAGCCCGATGCCACCGCTAGGACCATAGTCATTGAATGAAATGTAGTACTCGACGTCAGGTTTGAGCTCTTCTCCGTCGGTGTCGAGCACCGGCGACGACGCGGCGGAGGCGAAAGTATGGATGAACAAGAGGACCAAAAAGAGTGAGAATAGTTTCATCATTGTTGTAGAGATGGGAAGTGTAAGAGCAATGGATGGGTGATGGAAGATGAAGTATTATAGCTAGGGTTCTTATCCTATCAATAAGGGTAGTTTTGTCTTTTTATCCCATGTATATCTATGGTGTGAGATAACTACGGGTGTGTTTACTTGTGTGACTTCGATTTTGGTTTTATTATTTCAATTTTTATTTTTTTTAAAATATCAAATCAAATATATATTATTCATTTATTATATTACACTATAATTTAATTTACATTCAAAACATCGTATCAAACAATTATTTTAATGCGTAATTGGTAGTACTATATTGATTTTCTCACACAGTACGTATTCTGTTAAATAAAAGTACATAATTTTTGCTATATAAATGTATTTGATGTACTTAAATTAAGTTTTAATTGTATTGACTTTGACTATAACATGTGTTATTTATTCTTCTATTTGTATTATATTAAATATTGAACAAATATTACACAATATAGTAAAACAAAAACACAATCTATAGTTGATTTCAGCTTATTACATACCCGTTTTTATTTAACAATTTGTGTTATTATTGTCCATATATCAACACATATTACGTGCAAACTATCTATATATGATATGTTGTTAGTTCATATACTGTGTTAAGATACGAACAACATATGTTATATATAGTCAAATTTATCGCAATCTCCAATAGAATTAAGCACATTAAATGCATTCATCCAGTAAACTATTTGTATTTTTATTTAACATTTCATGAATTGTTTATCTCTTTATAATGTATTCTCAGTGTTCACTATAATAAAATATCATTTTTATAACGAAATTTTTTTCTTCCTAAATCTACTTTTTTCATTACTAATAAAATTAGAGACGGAATTAAGGATGGAATTACGTTAGCTACGTGAATTTTAGCGACAAAATTCCGTTACAAATATACTATTTTTTTGTAGTGGTTGTGCTGAATTTATTTAGATCGGTGTCACAACTGTTGTCTTAGATTATTAAAGAGTATAAATCTAAAATTATAAATTTTTTAAAACTTTAAAATTAATCACATCATCAAATAAACTAATGAATTTGATACATTTATTTAAAATATCTATCGATCAAATTCCTCCGAGAAAATTGTACTTATATATTGTTTTTGTTCATGATAATACAAACTTCACCGACAATTAGTTCAGGGAAGATCCCACCACATCTAAAAGTAAGCATTCCAATTTTTTATTTGAATTTTGCTAAATTTGAACCAAATTAAAAATCCAAATGTTTTGAAAAAATCAATCCAAACCAAATCGAAATAACCAAAATTCGAAAACTCAAAATAAAAATTCGAACCAAATACCGAAAATTCCAAAAAAGAAAATTCTATAATTTATTTTATTTTTTTATAATATTGAATATGTCTATGATAAACTGAAATAAGTATATTTATATATAATTAATAATTTTGAGTTTTTTATTTTATTAAAATACTATACTTTTAGTAAAATATTAAATATATAATAAAATATATCAATATATGGTATATCAAATTTTGAATTAATTCAAATTTTTAATGTATAGATTCAAAATTTTTAATATTTATAAAATATTCAATTCGAACTAAAATTCATATTTCAATTTGACTCGAATCATACGTTTGATTTTGAATATTTTACTGACCTTTAACTAAAGTTGTTAAGCGAATCGAGTATAGCTCGCGCGAGTCAAGCTCGACTCGGCTCGTTTATAGAGATAAATCAGCCGAGCTCGAGCTCGAAAATTACTTTTTTTATAAACGAGTCAAGCTCGAGCTCAGCTCGCGAGTAGCTCAATTGAGCTCGTTAGTGATAATATATTTATATTATTTATATATTAAGATAATATACATAATTTTTTATATCAAAATTTACATTTATTATTAAAATTTGAATATTTTATTATAAAAAATATAAATTAAATTAAATACTTTTAATTTATATATTAAAAATACATAAAATATGTATAATTCAAGTCGAGTTCGAATTTGAACTTTACGAGCCGAGCTTGAGCCTGTATTTGAACCTAACGAGCCGAACTTGAGCCAATATTTTGGCTTGAATTTTTAACAAGCCGAACCGTGCCTATACCATTAACAAGTTCGAGTCCAGCTCGAACAACCGATACTCGAGCTCGGTCGACTCGTTTACCAATTCTACATGTAACTAGGTACACCCACCCCACCTACTTATTTATATATTTTATAATATTTTTATTGATTTATATTAAATTTTTCACTGACAAATGGAACATGGTGGGTAGAAGATTTGTGGCTAGAAATTTTCTAAAAACATTAGGTTTTATGTCACGAGTCCTTGTATTTTATAAAAAATAAAATAAAATGTATAGAATATTTTGTTTATTAATTATTACAAAAGATTTCTTAAAAGTCTCATAAAATACTTTTTCAGTCCAAAAGTAATGGCAATTAAGAATTATGAGCTTATTGTGCAGATAATTTCAAATATAGACATAAATTTAATTTAATTTTTTTAGACAGAATTGAATCATATGAGTAAATATATTTTTGTGTTGGGCATGAGAATCGTATCAATAATTTTAAAATAAAATAATTATATTTTATGTTGAATCGGCAAAATTTTATAAATAGATAGAATATATTGTATTATATATTATATGAAAGTGCATACATATTGTATTTTTTATAATATTCCCTGGAAATCATATAAACCAAAAATATTGGATGAGCACACCCAAATAATGTTGATTTGTCTACGATGCAAGATCATATGAGCGTAAATTTATATTTAGATTTACAATTCAGGTTGAATGTACCCAGAGAAACGCTGGTAGACTATATCTACTGATACCATAGTAGAATTTTTGGAAAAAATAATGAGATTGTGTTATTAATCATAAAAATAAATGACATATACAAAACAAACTCGATAGACTCAAATCTAAATAATCTAATATATCGATAAGATTAAATCTAAATATAAATCTACTAAATTTAGAACTGAATATCTAAAATATCTCAACATGTTTGATAGGAATGTGATTTTTAGAAATTTATTATTGCCGTGAATGCAATAAAGGTAATCAAAAACAAAAAAGAATCGATAAGCAGAATTACATGGATGTTGGCTACGTCCATGGAAGAATGAGAATACTTTTATTAGAATTTCAAAATGCGGCACACGTAGTGTTACATCATAATGGATATTTATAATAATACAAATCAAATATTACTGACGGGATCCAAGAATAGGTCCAGCAATAAAAATAGACTACAGAGCTAGCTCATGCAGCGAGACTCCGTAGGACTCAGCGAAGTGACAAACAAAGGTTGGAACACCGAATTTTAGCATTTCAACAGTTATATAAAAAAATTGACATAATTTTTTAATAAATCGAAGAAAGAAGCAATCAATATTACCTAATTTATTATTTTTAATTATTAGAATGCTATATAAGATCTTTTGCATAACAAGTGTGTGATTCTTAATCATTGTTATTTTAAAAATAATAATAATAATAATATTTTATCCATAGTTTATTATAATATAAGAGAGTTTATGCCATAAATAAAATATAAGATATTATGTGTATGTTTTGTAAAATATATAGATGTATTATACAATTTATTCAAAAATTTATCACAAATTATATTGTACTTTCTTCGTGGCTAAAAATTGTAACTAATCAAATGTAGAATCCTCTTAAGTATATATGCTTACTTTTGCTGTGAAATTTTAATGATAGTTGAAAGATGTTCTTTTTTAATTATAAATAAATAGAAATTCAGAATATTTATCATATATAATAGTATTTACTAAAATAATAAATATTTTACTTTTGTACAACAAAAAATGATAAAATGGATATTATTTTAAGAAATAATTTACTGTTGGGACATGCTTTTGACTAATGAGTATTCAAGATAATAATGTCAAAGACACTCATGTTTTCATTTATATCTTCATAATTCATTCAATCATTGGAATATGTTTTTATTGAAAAATGCACCAATAATGATATTTGAAATTATCTCATGACAACACAAAAATATGACTAAATATGTACTAGAAATAAATGTATGCATCCATCATATGGAGGGACCCCAAAAAAATTAAACCCAAAAAATGCACAATAGGACCACAATGCAAACCATAAATAATAATAATAATAATAATAATAATAATTGTTGATGTATGTTTTCAACAAAAATAAAGTAAAATTCAAAGATATAGAAAATATCCTTAAACTTGATTAATTAGTGCCTGAGATTAGGAATCTCTAAACACTGTAACGTACAGAAACTAAACTGGAAATTAAAAGACTGAAATTTAAAGTGGTGATCCCCAAATCTGACTTTGCTTTGTTGAAGTTGATTGAAGATCCCTTGCCAAATGATGATCCAAATCCTTAAATATTCCCTGGGAAACCGTACTGAAAACCGTCACCCGAACGGTTACAACGTCTCCTTCTCAACCGTCTTCCAACCTTTCTTATGCTGACACGTGTCCCCAGCAGACCAAAATTCCCTATATTTCACTCCTTGAGCCGACCACAGACCTTCCGCTCTTTTGGCCCGACTTCGTCCTTCGTCCGACCTACTTCTTCGCCCGACCCCACTTGGGCCGACCTCCATATCAACCGCCCCCTGTCTTTGATCAAAGGCCTCCGTGTTTGTCCGACTCCTCCTTCTATCCGACCTACGGGTTACCCGACCTGCGGATATCCCATCTCAACGACTTTCCGTCTCGAGGACCTCCCGACTTGAAAACCTTCCGACTTGAGGTCTTTCCGTCTTGCGGACCTCCCGACCGGAAAACCTTCCGACTTGAGGTCTTTCCGTCTTGCGGATCTCCCGACCTGAAGACCGTCCGACTTGAGGTCTTTCATCTTGAGGGCCTCCCGACCTGAAGACCTTCCGACTTGAGGTCTTTCCGTCTTGCGGACCTCTCGACCTGAAGACCTTCCGACTTGAGGTCTTTCCGTCTTGCGGATCTCCCGACCTGAAGACC